TGGTATTTTGTGGAAGAGCCACCCTCAAAGGGCCAAGGAGCTGCATGTCGCTCACAAGTCACGGTTTGCTGACCATTGTTCTATATCAACAACCTTCATGGGTTTCTGTCTAAAATGAATTTGGTCAGGACTCATCTTACTCTCCATGTACATTTCTGATTGTGATGGAGAAGCAGGAGAGGAGCCCTGGGAGACACCATAGAGCCCATCCCCTGTGTTCACACTGGCCACTCAGCCGCTGTCCTGGGCACCATTAGTCAGCACAGTGTCTCCACCCACAGGCATGCCCACCAAACCTCTATCTGTCCTCTCGTCCACACCATTAAAAAGAGACATTTCTTTAGCCAAGAGAAGTGACTCCATGACTTCAGCTCCTGACAGGCTATTCCATGTGGTATTTCAGAGGAACTTTCCAGCAGTCCACAGAAATCCCCTTAGGTGGTCTGGGCAGCTCCCTGCCCATCTGGCCAGCTCTGGCTTTAGCCACGAAATCATGGATGGAAGAATTCTTTGGCAATTCCCAAAGGCTCTCCTCAGACATCCCGAGATCTGGGCCCTTTCATGACCTACTTTCACAGACACCACAGGGAAGAGGTGCAGGGCACTGCCATCAGTTAAAAACTTCCTCAGTGTCTGTGGCTGGACATGAGAGCCCCCAGTCTGACTCATGGGAACCAATCATCGGGCTTGCTGGAACCAGTCTGGCTCCCGAGAACGTCTGGCTTGATGTGTAGATGGTAAGAGGGAGGCCTTGTAGGAAAGGGCCGAGTTTGAAAGGTGGAGGACATCATCTGGTCCTTCAACTCGATGTCCCCCAGGAAGTCCTCTCTGAGTTACCGTAATTTCATTCAGGACCTAGGCTCCTTCCCGGGTCCCCAAAGGCATGCATCTTGCCTTCTCAGATTATAAGGGCTGGAGGACAGGGTCAAGTTTTTCTTCCTTAATGCACATCCCAGACTGTGATGTGCATGCAGCAGACACCCAGCAAATCCCCAGCATAAAAGTAGGCACCAAGCTTTCCTACCATGGATTCTCGACCCTTCCAGCATGAGAAAGTACTGCCCACCGTATTTTTTCAGTCACGAATCTACCTATTCTACCCAATTAATTCTACCCAATTTTCATATGACCTCACTTCCCCTTCAATGCTCAGCATTAGAAGTGTCCATAGAGGTAGCCATTCAAACTTCTCTGTTGAAGTATTACTCACAGAGTCCTTTTCCTGAATCATTTTTGTACATTTTGGCCATTTTTGCTTCAAACCATCAATGACTTTCTTATGCCAAGAAGCCTAGATCTTCACTTGACAATCAAAGAGGATTAGCCTAAGGTTCTAGGCTGAACAGAGGCCTGCTAAAGATGTAGTAGGCAGGGCCATACTGTAAAGGAATGAGTTGCTTCTATGTACTTCTCATCACTGTTTAGTTTGAGGCTTCATCCTGGGAGACTCTTCACCTATGGCAATAATGGTTTTTGGTTTGCATTCCTGGGAAGAACATTTGGGAATTGGAGATGTCGTTCCCATTAGGTCCCTAGCATTATTTCTATTGGATAAAATAGTGTCTTCAACAGAACTCCTGCCCTCCAGGAACTTCTAATCTCATTGGAAAGATGGGATACATATAAGTGGTGCTAAGTATTCTGCATGAGGTTATGACGAATGGGAGATGAAAAGTGTGAAACTGGGTTGGAAAAGCTCAAATCATAGGCTTCATGGTAAAGCAAAGTTGTCATTAGTACCTGGAGCTCTAAATAAAGTACATCTATAATAATAAAAGCATAATTAAACTGAATGTCCTTCTAGACAAGCCTAGGCTGCTAGGGAAGCCCAGGTCTCAGGTGCCTGCCAGCAGCTGCAGGGAAGCCCGGGTCCCGGGTGCTAGAGGGAAGTCAGAGCCGGCAGCCTATGGAAGAAGGCCTATTCTTGCATGAATTTTATGCATCAGGCCTCTAGCCAACTATAAGAATCTCTTCTAGTTATTCCTAAAAAAATCGCATTTGAAGAATATTGGCTAGAGGTGGTCTCATCCTGCCAGCTGGGAGAAGGCTAGAGGTCCTTTCGCATGCTACAGTGCAGGCTTGGACAAGTTCCCAGAATGCTCTAGGAATATATGAGAAAAGAGCAGGACCGTGTGAGTCATGAGAGGAAACATGAAGACCACAGTCTGGGTAGAACTTTCTCTGAAGCCCAAATAGGGCAATTTCAAGAGTCACCTTTCTTCAGCATTAGACTTGGGGTTAAAGCACAGCGAAGGCTCCTTGGCCTGGACTCATGCAGCTCCCAGAGCCTCTGGGGGATGACATTCAACATGTTCCTTGAGAAAGGCGTCTTGGCTGCCTCCTCCTCTGGCCCCACATTTCCTGCGCAGGAGAGCAGTGCCACAAATATCCGCTAATTTCATTGTTTCAGTGGAGAGCTTGTCGAAAAGATAAATCTGAAATGAAGCCACAAATGTAGAAGAAGGGTCACGAGCCTCTTGCCTTTCCCAGATGCTGGCTCGGGCCATGCTGGCAACCTCACAGTCATCTGCGAGAGCTGGAAACAATCACCAGGCCCCATAGCGGGAGGTTCTGATGCAGCGGGCCTGAAGGGAGGCCCAGGGTCTGCATGTTAATAAACAGTGAATTGTACTTTTATACACAACTGGAACCAACAGTTTAGAAAATGTTTTCTCTATTTTTTTTTTTTATCAATGTCAAGAAACTTTAATATTCATACTATTTAAACCCATGATTCCATAAATCCGCTTCTTGTCCAAAATGCTATTGAAACGATAAAAAATGAAATCAAAGACTATCAACTATGATATGTGTAGTAATTCTATGTACTGTACTTGTCCAATATGCAAGAAAAGATAACTACATTATAGCAGGTTCATAAGATAAAATATCCTACCCTAATAAAAGAGTACTATGCAAATTAACCATCACTCTGCTCCACAAGCCACACCCACCAGCCACGTCTGCCAGCCAATCAGAGCAAGTATGCAAATAAACCCAACCAAGAAGACTACAGTCACAGAGAGCAGGAGGGAGGCATTTCCCTGGCAATGGAGGAAGCCAAGCTTTCCACCTACCCTAGCTGGCCTAAGCCTTCACTCAAGGCTACAAAGTTTCAATTGTAGAAGGTAAATATATCCCAGATACCAGGGCCTCTGCTTGGGAGGCTGGGGGGCGTGGCTGGCCTGCAAACCACCACAGGCCCCTTGCTCAGACTGCCCCACTCCCCAAGGGAACCTCCACCCTGATCTGGGACACCCTTCAGGGCAAACCAGCTGGCCCCCACCCATGCACCAGGCCTCTATCCTATCTATTAAAAGAGTAATATGCAAATTGACCATCACTCCAACACACAGTATGGCTGCCCCATGTGGTCAAAGATCCTGCCCCTATGTGGACATAAGATTGCTACCATCAGATGGTCAGCAGGGAGGGCAGTTGGGAGGCACCAGGCCTGCAAGGGAAGGCAGTTGAGAGGGACCAGGCCTGCAAGGGAGGGCAGTTGAAGGTGATCAACTCTGTAGGGGAGGTCAGTTAGAGGTGACCAGGCCGGCAGAGGAGGGAAGTTGGGGGCAAACAGGCTGGCATGGGAGTGGTTAGGAAGTGATCAGGCTGGCAGGCAGAAGTGGTTAAGCCCACTGAGTTCGGGCCTAAACAGGCACTTGGACATCCCTCGAGAGGTCTCAGATTGAAGAGGGTGCAGATTGGGCTGAGGGGCAATCCTTCCCTCCCGACCCCCATGCATGAATTTCATGCACCGGGATTCTAGTTTGGCAACTAATGAAAAACAATGGTTTGGAGAATCTTTGAAACACGATAACATTTTCATGATATATAACACAGAATTAAAATTTTAGATATATCTTTGAGTCATAAGATTTCAACATTATCAATATTACCTAATAGCTGCATTTTTAAAGTGACTCTGATCCCCAGCTACATTTGGGAACAATTTCCCTGTGGTAGCCACTTTTCAGTGATGGCCCCAGTGTTGATCTCCTATGTCACTCCCTTGGGTAACCTCCTCCCACACTGCACACAACTGTTCTGTGTGACTAACAGAATACAGCAGAAATGAAGGGGTAGCACTTCTGAGATTAGCTTAGGCAATACTGTGGCTTCTAAGTTTTGCTCTCTTTCTCTTTTAAATCACTCTGGAGCAATACATGTCTTAAGGAAACTTAGGCAGCTTGCAGAGAGGACCAGAGGGGCCCCACTGACAGCCAGAAAGAAACGAAAGCCTGCCAACAACCACATGAGTCAACTGGGGAGAGGATGTCCCAGCCCCAGTAGCCAGATTGCAACCTCACCAGAGACTTCTGAGCAGAATCAACCAGCTAAGCCACTCCTGGATTCCTGACCCTCAGACCTATGTGAGTTAATAAACGTTTGTTCCGTGAAGCTGCAAAATCTGGGAGGTGACTTGTTACGTAGCAACAGATAGCTAATACGTTTCCCTAGTCCAAAGGGCAAGCTCTGAACATAGCACAGGCCATCCATGCCCACCTTTCTAGTTGCATTTCTCAGGACCCCCAGATTCACATTTTTCTTGATCAGTACTGGCCTGCTTACCCCAGTTCACACCTCCATACCTCTGTAACTTGCCCAAGTCATTCCCTATTGATGCCCTTTTCCCACTGATGGCATCCTCTTTTCCAGAAACCCTTCCTCAATGGCCCCCACACCAAATTCTGTTGGCTTGGTCCCCCTTCTTAGTGCTCACATGCTCACAGTAATTGAAAAGTGAGTTACATGTAGAAAAGAAAACATCTGCCTGGCCAGTGTGGCCCTGTGGTTGAATGTTGACCCATGGCACATGGGTTGCAGGCTTGATTCCCAGTGTAGGTTGTGCAGGAGGCAGCTGGTCAATTCTCTCTCATCATTGATGTTTCTATCTCTCTCTCCCCCTCTCTTCCTCTCTCTGAAAACAATAAAAACATATTAAAAAGAGAAAGAAAAGAAAACTTCCCTATGAAGGCTACATCAAGAGCACGACTTGCCTCTATGTGGTTGATCAACGAATTGTCGAATTTGAAGCCAGGAATCCTCTTCTCACTGCACACCACACCCACGTCTTCGGTGTGCTTGCAGTCGGTGACGCCCCAGCCATTGGAGGTGCAGGCTGCGAGGGTTGCCTCTTTGCCCGTGCAGTAGACATTGTCCAGCCAGATAGGCCCTGGAGGAGGCAGAGAAGAGGATAACTAAGCACTATGTCAGAGTAGGTTTGAATTTGGGGGGAAGGGGGTGTGGAGGGAGGGCACCAAAGTTGTACATAGAAAGAGAATTTTTCTCTAATCTTGGCAGCGGTGTGTCATCAATTGATTTTTAGCACGTTAAGATACTGCATATAGTTCTAGACCCGTGGTCAGCAAATTGTGACTTGCGAGTCACATGTGGCTCTTTGGCCCCTTGAGTGTGGCTCTTCCTCAAAATACCACGGCCTGGGCGAGTCTATTTTGAAGTGGAATTAGAAGAAGTTTAAAAAATGTGGCTCTCAAAAGAAATTTCAGTCGTTGTACTGTTGATATTTGGCTCTGTTGACTAATGAGTTTGCTGACCACTGTTCTAGACCATCTGGATTCCCTTGCCAGAGGGATATGGTAGATTGGACTTGATCAGGGTAGAAATCAGCGTTGAGCCCGGATGTCTCATGGAGTAGGGGAAAGAGCGGGGACTTTGGATAACTAAGCTAGATGTGAATTCTGGCTCCGCCTCCGTTAAGGCCTTTTCCTCATCAGTAAAATGGGGATAATAAAGACACTTTAATCGCAGGAGTGTGGGCAGGAGAGATAGTACATGGCACATGTCTAGTTTATTGTAGGCCCATAGTTACTAAAAAATGACAGTAATGATGATGATGATGATGTTAGTTATACTGACTATGATGCAAGCCAGACTTACCTTCACCTGTAGCAGAGGCTGGACCATGACCCTCAGCCATCCTGCACATGAGGCATTGAAGGCATTTCCCTGTGTCACCTCCCCTGACTTCCCCGTACTTCAGGGAAGAGGATGACGTGACCTTGTTAGTCACACTTCACAGATACTGAGCTCTGCCTCAGAGGGCGACCCACTCTGCAGGCCACCCTCTGAGCCTGGGGCCCTGGTCCATTCAGTGTTCTTCTCACTGCCTAAAACTTCCTTACTTTTCACAAGTCAGGTGACGAGGATGTGGGGAAATTGGAACCCTTGTGCGCTGTTGGTGGGATCGTAAAATGGCGCACCCACCATGGAAAAGAGCATGGTAGTCCCTCAATAAATTAAAAACAGAATTGCCATAGGATCCAGCAAGTCCTGGAAGAATGGAAAGCAGGGCCTCAAAGAGCTATTAGCACACCCATGTGACTTACAGCATTATTCACAATAGCCAAGAAGTGGTATATCCATACAGTGGAATATTAATCAGCCTTAGAAAGGAAGGAAATCTAATAAATAAATAAATAAAAGAAAGGGAGGAAATTCTAACACATGCACCAATATGGCTGAAATAGGCCAGTCACAAGAAGGCCAATCAGCATTGTTCCACTGACATAGGCATCTCGTGTAGTCAGAATACATAGACAAACGTAGGATGGTAGGTAACAGGGCTGGAGGAGATGGGATGGGGAGTGGTTGTCCAATAGGGACAGAGTTTCAGTTTCCCAAGATAGTGTCCTGGAGAGAGACCACCACATGAATGTTCTTAACACTACCCAACTGTACACTGGGAACCAGTCAAGATGGCATGTTTGTTCTGTGTGTGTGTGTGTGTGTGTTTAATATTTTTATTTATTTCAGAGAGAAAGGGAGAGGGAGAGAGAGAGATTGAAACATTAATGATGAGAATCACTGATCTGCTGCCTCCTACATGCCCCCCATTGAACCCACAATCCGGGCATATGCCCTTGACTGAATCAAACCCGGGACCCTTCAGTGTGCAGAAGGGTGCTCTATCCACTGAGCCAAACTGGCTAGGGCAAGATGGAATGTTTTTAATGATATGTGCATTTTACCATAATTAAAATTTAAAAAAATTTAAAGGACTATAGGATTTTTCAAATAGTGATTTTTATAAGTGCCACTACCACATGAAAGGAAACAAAATCAGGTAAGCCTGTCAAGCTTCTTAATGCTCCATGTAGAATCCTATATTATAATGAGGTCAGATAACAGGGCTCCCCATTCTCTCTGAGGCTTGAGTACTTCATGACTCGGTCAACCGCTTCACCAAGCCTGTTCCCCATTTCCGAAGTGAAAACAATGACACCCAACAAACAGGTTGCCATGGATATCCAATGAGATAATCTTGTTCCTGGTACATTTTCAACCTCCCTTTCCCCTTCCTTCTCCCAGAAAGTCAGAAAAAACAATGAATACTGTTGTTTCCATGATGCCAGGAGGGAGCGGATAAAAACACTCCCATTGCAGAGATGAGAAAACCAAGGAGACCCCGAGGCTCTGAAGGCCAGGGAGGACGCAGGGCCAGTCTCCGGACATCGAGGCCCTGACGATACGTGTCCGCTGTGACAGAGGGCTGGTCAGGCCCCAACAGGAGCGCTCCGGCCGCATGGAGGGGAACAAAGAGCTATTGAAAACATCTGGGCTGAGGTTTTCCAACTGGTTTCTCAATTTGGCCTGGTTTCCAAGTCATCAAGCTCCACTGAAACATATGCTCCCTAACCGATTGCTGTTTCAACAACAAACCAATGTTTGTCTTGCTAAGTAGCAGCAGGGAAAAGACCCTCCACGGCTGACCCGGCCTCTTCCTGGAATGTTCTGTAGCAAAGCTGCTGAAGGGGCAGAGAGCGTGCTGGAAAGAAGCAGCGCCCTTATCCCATCGGCAATGAGAGGAACCACCCTTGCTAAGGGGACGGGAGCCAGATAGCACACGGCTAAAGGCAGCGTGAAAAGCTAAAAAATTACACCAGGGTCTGCTTAACTTCTCATAAGGAATGTTTGCAATTAGCCCCTGGAGTGCTCATGGGAACTTAACCTCAAAGAACTATCTCTTTCTCTTCCTCTCTCTCTCTCTCTCTCTCTCTCTCTCTCTCTCTCTCTCTCTCTCTCTCTCTCTCTTCCTTCCATCCTTCCTTCAACCGTTTCTTCCTTCCTTCCTTCCTTCCTTCCTTCCTTCCTTCCTTCCTTCCTTCCTTCCTTCCTTCCTTCCTTCTCTCTCTCTCTCTCTCTCTCTCTCTCTCTCTCTCTCTCTCTCTCTCTCTCTCTCTTCCTTCCTTCCTTCCTTCCTTCCTTCCTTCCTTCCTTCCTTCCTTCCTTCCTTCCTTCCTTCCTTCCTTTTTTTCTTTCAATGTTTTATTGATTTCAGAGAGAGGAAGGGAGAGGGAGGGATAGAAACATCTATGATGAGAGAGAACCATTGATCGGCTGCCTCCCGCACGCCCCACACTGGGGACTGACTACCACCTAGGCAGGTGTCCTGACCGGGAATCGAACCGTGACCTCCTGACTCATGGGTCGCTGCTCAACCACTGGCTGGGCAGAACTGCTTTCTTAAAAAGCTTCAATTCATCCCCAATCATTCTACTCTTTGCACATTTCACCCGTTATTTCTTAGATGGTAGAAATACAGACTTCTACGCAGTCCAAGACAGCATCACCAAGCATGTATTCTCATGTGGCCTGAATTCATTACAATTTTACCCCCTGTTTACTTAATGCCCATCAACTAGACTGTCCTGATCCCAAAGTGGCCAGCTCTGGTTCTGCCCGCTGAGGGCAGATTCTAGGCTCAGTGCAATGGGTGCCATCTACCAGCTGCTAGGAAGGTGGCATTTGGGTCACATGGGGGGGGAGGGGTGTCAAACCTTGGATACAAAATGCCAGTCAATCAGAAGCAAAACTTCATTTCTCCCTTTCCACTCATGTACCCTAAAAAATGCTTCTGGGCCTGGCCGGTTTGACTCAGTGGATAGAGCATAAGCCAGCGGACTAGAGGGTCCCAGGTTTGATTCCAGACAAGAGCATGTAGATACCTTAACTACGAGCATATCCCCAGTAGGAGGTGTGCAGGAAGCAGCTCATCGATGGTTCTAACTCTCTATCCCTATCTCTTATCTCTGTAAAAAATCAATTAAAAATATATTTTAAAAAATATCTTTAAAAAAGAAATGCTACTGACATAAGGAGAAGAGATGTATAAACAAATCCACAGACCATTTGGAAGAGGAAGACCAGAAATGAATTCCTGCTTGGGCACCAGAGCTGCCTGGGAAATGCAAATTGTTCAAGTTAGAATCTTCGGGGCCTTGCGTGGTCACGTGCGGGCGTTGTCACTGATCTCACTGGGAATCAGACCCCATCTCGGATCTAAAGACAGGAGGAGGAAAGCAACTGCCTTCAGTGCAGGTGGCTGTGAGACCCGTCCCGATGGTGAGCAGTGGGCAGCTGTCCCTCTAGAACCCTCTAACGGGGCTGGAGATTTCCCTGAGCTCGGAGGCGCTTTGGGAGAAAACACTGTGGACAGGCCAGTCCCCGGGAGCTGGGGACTCCTTGACTTCCTTACTACACCGTGACCTTGAGGGAAGTAGGTGACAGTGACCCCTCCTGGAGGGCCGCCTCGGAGGGGCGCAGCTGCGCATCCCAGCTCTTCCACAGAGCCGACTCTCGGGTTCAGCCTAAGCACAGTGGTTGGCAAACTCATTAGTCAACAGAGCCAAATGTCAACAGTACAACAATTGAAATTTCTTTTGAGAGCCACATTTTTTTAACTTAAACTTCTTCTAAGGCCACTTCTTCAAAATAGACTCTCCCAGGCCGTGGTATTTTGTGAGAGCCACACTCGAGGGGCCAAAGAGCAGCAGGTGGCTCGGGAGCCGCAGTTTGCAGACCACGGGCCTAGGGGAACATCCCCCAACCTGGTCGCAGTCTCTGGTCACTATGCCACGTACTGTTTGCCACTTGTTCTTAATGATCTCCCAAATCGACATGAATCAATCGGCTAATATTGACTGAGTTCCCGCTATGAACCCAGTGCTAAAAATCCTAACTGATTAAATCAAATATTTACATTTAAAAGGTCTCCCATGAGATCTCTATGACCGGTTTAGCTCAGTGAATAGAGCGTAGTACTGTGGACTGAAGGGTCCTAGGTTTAATTTTGGTGAAGGGCATGTACCTTGGTTGCAGCACATCCCCAGAAGGGAGAGTGCAGGAGGCAGCTGAATCGATGTTTCTCTCTCAATGATGTTTCTAACTCTCTAACCCTCTCTCTCCCTTCCTCTCTGTAAAAAAAGTCAATAAAAATATTTAAAAAATAAAAATAAAAGGTCGCCCATGATATAAATCAATTGACCACTTTCTGTGGATAGCATGAGGACAGTTAAATTATTATAGCATCTGTTACTCCCTTCCTCTCTTGGACACTTCTTTCCTACACCTTGATGGTTTCAACATCCACACAGATTACCTTTCCAGTATTTTTGGACTCACTGTCACTCAACCTCCTCTCGCCAGTGACTTTCCTCCACGCTAAGTCCGCTACTACGCATGGCCATAGACCTTGTCATTACCAATAACCATACCCCCATCCCCATTTGTATCCTTGTGCCCCGCACCCATGTCCCTACCCCATCTCTCTAGCAGACTTTTCTAGCATTGCAATCTCTGCAGAGACCCACAGTTGATTGATCCAGCTTGCGACTGTCCGTCACTCCTCCATGCAGCAGCTTCCGTGGACCATGACTTGAATTACTTTACTCCCTTGAACTTTTCTCTCATCATCAAACCATCTGAGCCAGGTCACCACCTCTCCAGCCATCCTTTGCTCACTCCTGAGCAGATGAAAGTGGAGGGGGGACCACATCCATTTTGTCTGATGACAGGTAAATTTTAAGTTTGGGTAGAAATAAAATAAAGCTATTACTGTAAAAAATAAACAAACAAACAAACAAAAAACCCAGTCATTGGAAAGTACTGTTATAAATATTTAGGCTTAGCCCGGTGGGTGTGGCTCAGTAGTTGACGGTTGACCCAGGTACCAAGAGGTCATGAGTTCGATTCCCAGTCAGGACACATGCTCAGGTTGCAGGCTTAATGGCTTAACCCCCAGTAAAGGGCATGCAGGGGGCAGCGGATGGATATTGTTATTCTTATCAATGTTTCTCTCTCTCTCTCCCTTCCTCTATTTCTAAAATAAATTTTAAAATATTGAAAATAATAAAATAAAATATTTAGGCTTAGACAGCCTGGAATAGAAAACAAATCACTCAACTAGCAGAATAAACAGAGAGGAGTGAGTATGGAGACGTGCCTGGGGTATTGGGAAGAAGACAGGAAATGTGTTTGAGAGCCCAGCACTTGCTAACTTGTCTGTGCTGCTTTTACTCTGGTTCCTGCCTAGGAGCCCAGAGTCAGCGTCAGAGAACATGTCACTCCAAGTGCGGTCACTCCAACAGGATATGTTCAATTGCACAGAAGTGAGACATGCATGACACAGAGTTTCCTTTCTCCGATAACTTCTAGAATAACAGAAAGCCAGGGCTGCAGAGGGTCATAACAAAGATCTAATTCAATGAAACCCAAACCTGGCTATGTAGACAGTCACTCTCCCCCCACGGACTGCTCCTGACTTCAGCTCCTGCCTCAGGCACCAACCAGTTTGGTTCATCGAGGACACCAGACTGTGTGCACCAAAACCAGGAAATCTGGCAACGCAGGCCTGTTGGTCACTGCAGGGTTCCCCAGCACCCCTCCCCTCCCACCTTCCTGCACAAACGCAGAAGGCTGCCCAGATGGAATTGTCAGGAATTCAGACTTGACAGCAGAGGCAGATTCCTTTCCCAGGCCAACCGCACGCAGCCTGTTCTGGGGTTTCCGGGGGACGGCACTCGCTCCAAAGCACAGAGTGTTTACCTTCCCCTTTGCCGTAAGAGGAGCTGGCCGTCCAGGACTTGGCCTCCACGTATCCCAGCTCTCGGCAGACGACGTGGGCAGCGTGGATGGAGAAGTCATCATCGCACACGGTGCCCCACTGGCCCTGATAGTACACCTCCACCCGTCCCTCGCTGTGCTTCCTCTTCTGCCCCGCCAGGCGCAGCTGGATCTTGGGCACGTCGGAGGGCACCTGAGGCCGGTGGTACTCGGGGGCGGGCTGCTGGAAGTACTCCGGGTAGTGGGGCCAGCTCTCGTACTGTGCCAGGCTCAGCACGGGGAGGAGGGACAGCACAGCCAGGCAGCTGCAGAGGCAGGGGCCTCCGGGCCTCGCCATGCCTACCCTCTGGCTGGACAGCCTCTTGGAGTGGGGAGAGCAGCGGGTGCTTCGGGCTGCAGGCAGGAGCCTCCTGGAAGAGAGGAGAGATGCAGGTTACAGACATCTCCGGAACCTCCAGGGACTTCCTACTCCTCTGCTTAGCAGTGAAAGCCCTTCACAGTCGAGCCTCCAACTTCCTCTCTTCTCCCACCTTTCATTTCAGCTAGAAAGGTCTGTGCACGCCCTCCCCCTTTGCCCACGCACCTTCCCCTACCTCTGAATTGCTTTTTCCCCCCACAAGGTTCCTGGCAGAAAATGAAGCACAAGGAGACTTAATTTGAGGAGAGTGTTTTAAAAGACTATTTACAGAGCCAGGAGCAGAGATAACGGTAATACCCGGGCTGGGCATCAAGAGGCACTGTGGGCACCCAGGCTGGAAGCGCAGGGAGGGCGTGGTTACCAGAGTTGAAGAGAGTGGCTCAGAAGGCCACCTGTTTGGAGCTGTGCCCTCAGTGAAGGGTCTCAAAGCCAACCCACAGCAACAGAGGCAGGGGCAAGAAATACCTGGCCTCACTCTCCTCCTCTCTCCCTTCCCCGTGCCTCCCATTGGGCAAACCCAACCCATTGGTGGAGTCTGGATGGGTTGGCCTCCTGGGCACAGAGGATGGTAGGGGGAGAGAGCAGGTGGGAAGGGCTAGCAGAGGGACTCCAGCACTCTCTCTCTCTCTCTCCCCACCTCTTACACCTGCTCCATCTCTAGGGCCCAGCTAAAGTCCCTCCTTGGGCAACATCCCACTACCAAGACAGACTTATTATCTAGACATTCTTCTCACCCCTCCCAGACGTCCCCAAGTAGGTCACAAACTTCTTTTTTCCCCAAATATATTTTATTGATTTTTTTTACAGAGAAGAAGGGAGAAGGATAGAGAGAAACATCGACGAGAGAGAAACATTAATCAGCTGCCTCCTGCACACCCCCTACTGGGGATGTGCCCGCAACCAAGGTACGTGTCCTTGACCAGAATCGTACCTGGGACCCTTCAGTCCGCAGGCCGACGCCCTATCCACTGAGCCATACCGGTTAGGGCATGGTCACAAACTTCTTAAGGGCAGGACTTCTCTGAATCCTCCAGAGTGAATAGCATAGATTCGTGGACCTGTTTCTTGAAGGAGAGGGTGATTTATTCCAGGATCCAAGCAGCTGGGGGAACGCCACACTGACTCTCGGGGACTCCCATGTAAGGTCCGCCCTCCCTCTGGACCTTTGCTGACCCGGATGGAAGCAGCCTCTTCCAGGTGCTGAGAACAACACCGGGAAGCCTGAAGTCTGTCTCCACTTGCTCCTGAGCGGCTGTTCCCGCTGCGCATACATCTGACCCCCTGGGCTCTGCCTTCAGACACCAGCACGCGCCCACCGTGCCTCTGGTCGCAGCATGTCTGTACTCTGGGCCACGAGACCACCGAGGCCACGGAGTGAGAAGGTCAGTGGCAAAGCCCCTTGAACAGCTGGACACAGGGCCTGTCCTTGGCTGAACTGTGGCTTCTGCAAGCAGCAGCCTTCCTGCCCTGGTGACAGCTCACAGCCTCTGTCCCCGAGGGGGGCAGGGGCTGAGAGCAGCCTGCTCTTTGCACAGAGGAGAGACTTAACGTTCTTCATGGCAAACAGGAAAGAGGCTGAGTGGCCTGACAGCGGGGAAAGGAGGGCAGGACAGCAGCGTGGGGAAGAGCGGATTCTGGAGCCAGGTAATCTGAGTGTGAATCCTCATTCTGACCCTTACTAGCTCTACGACCTTGGGTAAAACGCTTCACTTCTCTGTGCTTGGTTTCCTGAATGTGAAGTGGGGATGATGATTATATCTATCTAGCTCACAGCATTGTTTTGAAGATTGAATGAATGACATCGAATAAATACTACAGGAGCATCTAACAAAAATTTAAAATTCTCAAGATCATGGTCCCCATCCCCAGACAGAGCCTGCCTCCCAGAGTTCCAGCGTAAGGTCACATAACAAGATCATGTGCCTTGGCCCTTCCATAATTTGGAGAGAGGGAAAACGATCCTAAAGGGATTGCAGGTGTGTCTTGTGGAAAAGGAAACACACATGGCCCCCCCCAAAGCACAACCAGGACCAGGAAGTGGAAACTAAAGGGTGACATAGTACACTTCATTTAAAAAATATATACATATTATTGATTTTTTTTACAGAGAGGAAGAGAGAGGGATAGAGAGTTAGAAACATCGATGAGAGAGAATCATCAATCAGCTGCCTCTTGCACACCCCCCACTGGGGATGTGCCCGCAACCAAGGTACATGCCCTTGACCGGAATCGAACCCGGGACCCTTCAGTCTGCAGGCCAACACTCTATCTACTGAGCCAAACCGGTTTCAGCTACACTTCATTTTAACCAGGCACAGAGGGCAGGACTTCTTAAGGGCAGGACTTCCTCATGGCTCACCACCATCAACGAAGGACCAGGAGGGATGATGTCACTGGTGAGAGGCAGTTTCACAACTGTTGGGATGGCACGTCAGGGCCCCTCACCATGCTGGGGCGGAGATGACAGCACTCAGGGGACAGTGAGGACTGAGGACTGTGGAAGGCTCAATGTCACTGAACACCCAGCCATCCTCTCCCGTTACTCACAAGCAAGGCCAGAGGGTTGTAGGTTCTGTGATAGCCCCTCAGACCAAAGCTTGGCCCTGAAGGAAAGCATCCTGCCTCCCCTGCCCTGGCCACATTCGTGCCCATCAGAGTGCGTTTGCATGCAGGCCCTCATCTACCCTCAATAGAGGCTGAGGCGCGAGTGGAGGAGGCAGAGATTATGGTTTTTATTTTACAAAGAGAAAATTCGGAAGCAGAGGCGGCTAAGGGCTTCACCAGAGTTGCACTGCAGGTAGAGCCAGAACTGGTCGCTCCCAAGCTACCAAAACGTCCACAATTCACCATCACATATAAAAAATGTCCAAACTCCGCCCTGGCTGCTGTGGCCCAGTGGTTACAGCATCAGCCTCACACACTGAAGGATCTCAGGTTTGGTTCCCAGTCAAGAGCACGTACCTGGGTTTGATCTCCAGCCCCAGTTAGGAATGAGTGGGAGGCAACCAATCAATGTGTCTCTTCTCTCTCTCTCTCTCTCTCTCTCTCTCTCTCTCTCTCTCTCTCTCTCTCTCTCTCTTTCTCTCTCTCTCTCTCTCTCTCACACACACACACACACACACACACACACACACACACACACACACACACATCTCCCTTCCTCCCCTTTTCCTTTCTACTCATTCTAAAAAATATCCTTGGGTGAAGATTAACAAAAATAAAAATAAATAAATAAAAATTGACTCTACAATGTTCAAATTTGCCTGGGACACAGACACCTTTCAGTCTGGCATGTGTCTACATTTCCTTGCTTCAGTTCTAACTATGCTTCTCTCCCTGCCCACACTCAGCCCTTCCCAGGTCACCTATCCCATCAGATTAGCCTGCATTTGGTTTCAGTTGTTCCCCCTCCTAGAGTAATATGTCTCCTTTCCCATCCCTTCCCTTTCCTCCAAATAGCCTAGGTCAGAGGTCGGCAAAGTGCGGCTCGCAGGCCACATGCGGCTCTTTGATGCCTTGAGTTTTTAGCAAAGGCAGCTTAACCATAATTCAGTTAATAACAATGTACCTACCTATATAGTTTAAGTTTAAAAAATGTGGCTCTCAAAAGAAATTTCAATCGTTGTACTGTTGATATTTGGCTCTGTTAACTAATGAGTTTGCCGACCACTGGCCTAGGTCATGAGCCCTCCCATTCTTCAAGGAAACTTTCCCAGATTCTAATGAATGTCTTCTCTGGTTCTCTTAACCATAGCATTTTGCTTTATATTGTTGCCATGCCAGGCTCTACCAAACCCGCAGCCCCAATGGGCAAAAGCCATCCCTGTGACATTCGCACACAGCACTTCATGTTTCTGGCTTCAGCTGACCAGCTTGTAATTAGATAGACCGGACAAGAACAGCTGGAATAGGAGATGAAGTTCTGAAGGCCTGTATTTGAAGTCACTGGAACCCTATAGAGGCAGCAAGAGTCAAGAACCCCAAGAGACAGGAAGTGCACTGAGGTGAGCCTCACACCTATGTCTGCTCACCTGCCCCTCAACCCCCCTCAGACATTAGCCAGTTCCCAGGGCATTGGCCAAGAGGCTGAGAAGCTTGCTTTGGGCAGCCTTCCGGAGCCTTCTAACAGGAGGTGGGGCTCTGCTAATTAGGCCGGGGCTGGAGTGGAAGGGGCCCAAGTGAGAGCACAGAGCCCTGCTCTATTGTTAGAAAGCTCTGGCATCCACATACTTGGAATTCCCCAGGAGGGGAGAGAGAGCATGTAGGCAAGCACTGTTTGAAGAGATAAACAGCCAAGAATGATTTAAAATTGATGACAGATTATCAGCCCAAGCAGTATAGTTTACATAGAAACAGCGTCTGAGCACATCAAAACCCAGCTGCAGAAAATCCAATCTTAAAAGCAGCCACACTACAAACGGAGCATTACCTTCTAAGGAGCAGCAGAGACCAATAGCTGAACTCTTAACAGAAGACAAGGAGAGGAGGAAGGCAATGGCATGACGTTTTCAAAAGGATGAAACAATAGCAGTCAACCTGGGATTCTGGAACTGCTGGAGAGAATGAAGGTAAAACAAGGACATTGCAGACACACCCACTGTTAGCAGAGGATCCATAAAATGTGAATAGTAAAAAAAGTTCTTCAGGCCAAAGGAAAACTGATCCGAGATGTTAGTAAGGAGGAGCAGGAGGAATGAGGGTATGGGAAGGGCAGCTAAATCTAAAGGAGGATCAACCTTGTAAAAACAATAAAATGACTCGTGGGGGTTAAAATATGGGGTGGGCTCAAATAGGTGCAGAGTTATATTAATAATACAAATAAGTAATACAACAATTAATAAATAATAACACAAGAATAAACTGTTTCGCATACCCACGACTGTAAAACTCATTTTGCACAGCTCTGTCTAGGCATCATT